CAATGGTACAGTGTTGGAAAAACAGAAAATTTTAAAAAAAAAAAGCACCCTTACCTGTAGATGTGCCACATCACAGTAATGGTGATGGAAGGAACCATCACTGACAGGCCCTGAAGAGCCAGAAGAAAATGAGTCAATGCCCAACGAAATGTAAGGAACACCCAATACGTGATATGGCAAAAAGAATCAGATAGAGTCCACCATCCCAAGACCTCCAAGCATCCAGCAGGCATCCCAACTGGAATTAGAGGCATCTATAAAGAGGTGACATTTTGAATGAGAAGGAGGAAGAGGAACTCCCATAGTAGTGTTGTCTCAATCCTACCAACAGGCAAAGTTGGTCTGAAAAGGAAGGAAGAGAGGGCATCTAAGGGATCCTGAACGAGGCTACACTGGTCCATCAAAACCAACTGGAGGCAACAAATGTGGGCACAACAAAGAGGAATGAGGGCTTCCAGAGAAATACACTTTCCATTTAGGAAAATGTTAATTTCCAAAACATACTTACATCTTCTGACACTTATAGCTAGAATCCCACATTGAGAAGGTGGAGTGGTCAGTGAGGGCATTATCCATACAGAAAGAATCTGTATAGATCATAAGTGTACCAAGATAAGACTGGTACCAAAGTGGGGGAACCGCACCACATCCAAAACAAGTATGTTCTTTACCCTGAAATTAGTTCCTGTATCAAGGGTGAAATTGTACATGAGCAATAATCACTATAAACCAACCCCAACCAAATAGCCAAGGTTCCGCTACTTGGGGTTGGAATTAAGGGGTCTTGGTCCTTATATCCCAAAGTTGTGCTAGGACAATTGGACTGCAACATTACAATATATATATATATATATACACACACACAATATTGATTGAATCCCAATCTGTAGCCATAGGGTGATGCATTCCGAACCATCGGAATCACAACGAGAAAGTAAGCAACACCAAAGCGGACAAACCTTCTCCTCCACCTGAAGAAGCCCGAAAAACAACACCCCAGTCTCAGAATGATAGAATCATGCATGCTGTACTCAACCCAAGGAACAGAACTCATCCAATCAGAAATTATGAACACCCATCTTCACTGCCCAACGGAGTGGGCAAGGTAAATTATTCTTGTTTCTAGAATTATGAAAATGCCGTGGAATAACTGTGCTCAACCAAGGACCCAGGACAGGACCACTCCACATTCGAAATTAAGAGGAGATAGTGGACCCCCTTCCCTGAACAATGTACTGAACCAATATTGATAAAAAAGAATGGCCATGCACACCTCAACTGGATGGCCAAGTGTCAAATCTGAACTGGTACTAAGAGTAGACTCCTGCATAGGCTAGTGCTGCTCTTACTGACATCTGGGGGAAAAAAAACATATCTAGAGACTCAGGTAGGAGGGCCCCCAACTTCGCCTGTTCTCCAATAGTGGAGGAATTCATTAACACTCTGGAGAAAAAGCCTCTGTCCATCACCCCAGTGACTAAAAACCAGGTGTGGTAAGAACTCCCTAGCTCCACTAGTAGAATCGTGGGGGGGGGGGGGGGAGGTTATGAATGTTGGGAAACCCTGAGGAACAGTGCTCTGGAAACAATACAATAGGTGAATCTAGTTCCCTAAATTTTTAAAAGCAAACCAGTACCAATTTATTCAATCTGATGATTGGCAGAATCCCCTTTAGCTTTACTCGTGATAGTCCATGATGGTGGTCAAGTATAGTATTGTAATACCAGCTGGTGAGCTCCTAGGTGGTCTTATCGAACATCTCATTTCTAAAGAGCCTGTTGCAACTGGTAGCAATTATAGTGAAATAGTGGTTGCTAGTGCAGAATTGGTTTGATAAAAGCACACCTGTCTGGCAATACCCAACACAGAGTAGGGATGTTGTAAAAACAAGGTAAGGGACCCTGAAAGGTAGAAATAAATATACTCACCCCTCTGGATAATCTAGCAGAAATTGTTAAGATAGCTACAGGGGGGAGGCAAAAAACCCCCGTATGAAGAGACTACCAGATCAAGCAAAGAACATGAGATAAATGTATTGGGAGGGGGGGAGTCCACATACCAGCCTGCACAAAGACCTCCAGCGAACAATTTGACAGGTCTGCTAGAAAAGAGAAATCTGATTAGATGTGACACACACAAGATACCTCACCTTCAAAGACAGCCCAGAATAAAAAGAGTTGTCTCGTATCTCTAAAAGTACAAGTGCAGGCAACAAAACCTTCAAGACCCTCACTGAACATAACCAAGATTAAAATCTGATTGGACATAAGAGAAACAGTGAGCACATGAATCAGAGAAAAGGAATGAACCCATTTCCCATTTGACAAAGTGTTAGGTAAGAAGAACTGGTCTGAGGGCACAGAGAGAATGAGAAAGTGGTCTGTGGACAAACAGAGCAAATCATTCCGACTGGTGATGTGTGTAGGTCAGCAGCAAGGAAAAATACGCCTGCGGGTAAAGGGGATACATGGCATATAAGAGCCAGGTCACAAACAGGTGTACAGAAAGAACACATTATCATTCTAGTTACCTACCAGGAAAATTAAGGTTATTTTAGTCACCATAACTGAATAGTAATTCAATAAAACCACTGTAAAAAATAATGATTGTGGAAGATGTAAAAACCTCTCTCAAAGAGCCAAGTCAAAAAATGAACTATAGTTAATACCACTGATTGAAAATGGTTAAACCTCCTTTCAATACAACATTGCCTATGTGAATGTCATTACCATTGATAAAAGTGTCTTTTGGACTAAGCAGAAACTTAGAAACATGTCAACTTTAAAAAATTAAACCTCAATGCCTTATGAAAGACAGCATAACCTCTATGCCAGAAGTCTGAGCTTCTGGATAGCCAGGTGTACCATGCCAGATCATAGCAGCCTTCACAGCAAGAGCATAAAAAGTGGAAGAGTTGGACCTATTGGAAGGGACAGCAGAAGCAGAAACCAGGTGCAGCAGCCAATCTGATGCTATCAACAGGATCTGACAATGGGTTGGAACAATCATATTTCATACCCTGGGTAACATATGAAGTGGAGAGAAGGTTTAGAGCAGTAATCCCATCCTGTCCAGATGGAAAACAGCTATTGCCAAAGCTGAAATATAATGTGCTGGAGACCAGATTGCCAGTAATTGGGTGATCCAATGAGAGGCCAACCCACCAATTACCATTGCAAAATGAGAGCTAATCCAACAGAACCTTGCAATGCAACATCTGTTCTGTTGGGAGAATCTGTTTGGACTGAAGCAATGGACCTGCTACCACAAGCATCACCCATGGAACATGGTAAGCTAGAAGGGTGATAAGATAGGACTAGTCCCAAGAAAGGAGGTCCAAAATTTGAAAATAAGGAGCCCTAGACCACATGCCTCCTTGCTGATAAATATAAGACACCACCACAGAATAGTCAGAGTGAAACAACAGTTCACCCCTTAAAAAGCCCAGACCATGAAGCCTTGCCTGTTGAAGAGCAAGAAGGATGAAAACATTGTATAGGGAATCCTCGTTGTCCATGCATAGACTCTGAAATTCTTGACTGTTGGTATATGCACCCATCCCTAAAGCAAGGCGTCCTTGAAGAAAATGGAACTTTGGATGAGGTGTCCTAACTTAACCACTCCTCAAGATCGAAGAATGGTCCAGACTAAGGAAACTGGGTAAATCAGTAAACAGATGCGTGTGATCCTTGATCACTTAAATACCAATAAAAGGATCCCTTGTGTTCTTGTTCCAAAGACATGAAGGAATAGAGTGATGCAGACATTCCCAGAAGAGAAAGAACCATCCACGCAATGGGAAAAGGAGAGGTGAGTAAAAGTGTGGCATCCTATTCTATAACATTGAACAGGATGAGAGACAGCTGAGCCCGACTGAGAGATGAGATGAAAAATAAAAAATATCCAGACTGATGACATACTGAATTGGAGCAAAAATAGATGTTGCAGCCCTGAAAGGGAAACATACCTGGATTGTATCTGAAAGTAGAATCAGGATGAAATGGTGCCAGCAGTAACCAGCCATCCATGGAATGGTGTGTGCACAGCAAGATGGAATGAAGGGAACGAGAAAAAACTCATACGATATGGCAGAACCCACGTGAAGCCTACGCGAGTCAGAAGGGAAAAACCCAGAATAGCAGTACTTGACCCTTGTGCACCATAAACACTGAGAGTGGTGAAACTTCACCATTAAGGCAAAGTGCAGATAGGAGCTGACTACAACCATATTAGACATCTACAATCCCAGTAACAAAATCAACACAGATTGAGGAATGAGTAACTTGTGAACCTTGGAGAATCTAGGCATTGATATAGACAAGGAAGATTGATGACTGGACACCAATCTCCTGTATGCATAGGCCCAACAACTGACAGGAATAAAACTCTGACGAACTAGCCCGACTCTCTCACTACCCCCAGACCAACCAAACTCTGATAACCCTAGATTGGGTGGATAAATGTGGGGAAGATGTGAACTGAATGACCAATTGTGACCCAAGGACCTGCAGAGCTCCTGGACCCATGATTAAGTTTACCACACATCATGAAATTCTTGGAACAAAGCCCCCATATTCCCTGAAGGTATACAATAAGTACCGATACTTCTGGCAATCCAACTAAGCAGTGGAAGCCGTGGATATAGACAGAATCTATTCTGAGTACTAATGTACCAAGGATCTGATGTCAGGGATCAGTACTCACAAATAGGGGCAGAACTATGACCTCCCTGTGGGAGCCAATGAAATCTGAGACTCCAACACCCACCAGGAAAAAAGAAGAAGCCAAAAATTGAACATCTGTGCATGCTAACAATAAATCCGGCTCGACCTTAAAGAAACTGGTGATCCTGTGAGTCTCCTAACAAAGTGAAATGAAAGGAAACAAAATGTTGAATTTGAGTTGTAAGTCCACAGACTTACTCTGTCCCATCAGGGGACATAAATCTATACAGGTGAACTACAAACTCTTTTTTTAAAAACCTGAAATTAGAGGAGCAGATGTATTATTTGAGAGTTGGAAAAATGCCTCCACCTGGTGGTGGTAGGCTAAAGCACAAAGTTCCAAGAACATTTCAGATAAGGTCTAACTGTCCCTTTATATAACTATGGAATAAACCTTTCAGTATGAACCATAGTATCTGTGTATGGAGAAAAAAAAATTAAAAATCTGTTCTCAGACCTTTCAGTCATCAAGTAAGTTGCAGGTTCAAAAGCAACCAGGAAAAAGCCCAAAATAGCACACACTGAAAGAACCAACAGAAGAAAAACAAATCAGAGGTAGCTTTTCCCAAAGTGGCTTCCTTTTATTTTTCATAAGTCATATAAAGACTGTGTTGATTACCATTGATTGGAACAGCATTTCTTGAGGTAAAGTACATTTTTTGTTAAAGCATAGCTACTTCGGGCCATCTGAAGCATCCACCATAGGGAATCAATCCCTGAACCCCGAACGCTGCAAGTCCATAAACTTACCACTGTCCACAGGGAGGCTGAAAATCCAACAGACTAAGAGAAGGCACAGGAAAAAGCAAATCTAAAGTCCCTCCAAAATGTTGAGGCTTGCCTTCAATTGCAGCCTCAGAGCCCTCAGAGGACCACCACAGATATGAATACATGTATCCATCTTGCTACAAATAAGAATACTGACAGTCTCAACTGAGAGTGCCTCCCTACCCCCAATTGTTGTGTGACACTAAATATCAGAGGTGGGAATAATGCCAGAAATAATAATCTGGGAATTCATGCATAATTGACTTGCCAATCTGAAGAATGTTTTTTTTCGAATTATTATTACAAAAATCAACAAGATAACATGATAATCTTCAAAGTATCTCTGAATGATCATAATAGTGGGAACCTGCTAGTGATGCTTTTTCGAGAAAAAGTAATAAAATTATCTGAATGAAGTGCTTATATACAGTACCAGGATAGAAGGTGCACTGATGTAGGTGGAGAGTATCCCAACACAAATATTACCAAGGGAAATTGAGTGGGGTATAAAAGATTGGAGCAAGCAAGAAAAAAATCAGATTAATGCTTAGATTGGCAAAAAAAGAAACCTTGGAAGTCAAGTAATAGCTACAAGTGTCAGTGGAGGTAAATATGTACTGAAACTGTGACTATCCACTATCTAACAAAAAAGTTATATAGTACACTACAGAGTGGTACAGAGTGTTATTCTGTTATTATGTCTACTTTGGTTTAAAACTCATCTTTACTTTGCAATATGATATTTTGCAAGATACGAGTTATGTATGTATAAGTTTATTAACCAAATAAATAACATAAATAACACCAATTTGTTGTCAAAGCTTTCTTTTCTGGAAAAATACAAATTACAGGAAATTCAAAAAAACAATTACATATACCCCCTCCCCCAAAAAATAGCAAAATCCTTTAGTAGGGGGTATAGGTGAACTTTAAAAAAAAACTTAAAAGAAAGAAATGTCAATCAAACATATCAATAAAATACGCAAACTAGCATACCTTAATGCAACAATTAAACTACAAAACTTGTGTTTAATTATTTCATCTATGCTTTTTTCCCACCTGTTTCAAACAAAAATATCCTTTAATTTTTAAACAATGTACAAATAAAGTACTATTTGATCCTTCAAGGCTGTCCATATACACTCATACTTGAGCAGAAGTAAAATCAGTGCTTGAAGTGAAGGAAAAGAGGAAAAAGAATGGTTTGTGAAATTTTTAAAACTGAGTACTATCATGAACCATGGTAGTGGTTCATAATAGGGATCGCCCATATGTTATATTATTATTATCTAATAATGTTCTGCTAGCCTAAAGTAAAAATGGCTGTGAGTATTGTAATAAAACCTGGGCAATATTACTAAACACATCATTGCTCATTGTGTAGACAGTTTTTTAAGAGTATTTCACTACCTAGCAAATAACAGCAGCTGTATAACCACTGACACCTTATCATTTTACTGTAGTCTGTGGTTTACATGGAGACTCATAATCTACTACACACATACTCATATAGATGTGTACAGGCCATGAATGTAATTTAATGTCCATATGGCAGGCACAACACCTATACCATAGTGATTATTAACTTACTGTTGCAACTGTATTTGATGTCATGTATCATTTGTTTATGTATAGGGTTCCTGCCCTTTCAGACACAATGTTGCTAACAGGATAACAGGTGTTTTTTTTTAACCACTGCATGGTCAATTTTGGCCATGTTACACAAATGTCTAAAACACTACACAAAAATCTAAAACATTACACAAACGTCTAGGCTGTCTCGTATAAGAGAAATCTTTAAGCTATTGTTTCAAAATAGCATCAAGCTCAGTTTCGAGCATCAGATTGACAATCACAGTGATGGCTGATGGTAAGTGGTGAATTACAGCCAGCAATGTGCAACTGCAAATTTTATGGATACTGCAAATAGAGTAGCCATTCTTGAAGCTGACAAAAAGGAGCGGCAAAAGTCATGCCATAGGAGATGGGAAAAATTATGGTGATTCTAGACAAAAGTGAAGTGGAAATTTTGTAAATGTAAATTTTATTTAGAAAATATTTAGTTTCAGATAAAATATGCAGCAACAACAGCCCACCAAAGTTTAGGGTCATCATAGTGGAAGAGGGTTGTAGAAGTGTCACGACCTAAACTCCATCAGAATGGAGGGGAAAAGGTATATTAATATAATCAATTCATGACTGTTAATTAACACATTTTCAACCTTGTACAGTGTGCAGAATATTACTCAAAGAGTAAATCTGGCCAGCTGCAGCAAAACCGTGACCAGCCTTACTATGGTCAGTGGAGAGGAGAAAAGGGGGAGATATAACAACTATAAGAAATATTAAAAATGCTTATTTGTATACATATCCTTTTATATTATGACACATCTTATATTTGCATTCAATATATATGCATGCATCTATACAACTTGAAAATTTCACATGGCTTTA